CCATTGCCCAAGTGTCCCTCTTGACAAGGGGCCTCTTTTTACAAGTTATATCAGCTAAATCATCGAGAGGGTGGAATGGTTTGCTCTTTGAAATGCGGAATGCAGAGCTTGGGTGTTATTTGTTTTTCTCACTTTACTATTTTGCGGTGTAACAGTTCACTTGGGCACCTCTGCATCATAATATTGCCTTTTCCAGTCTGTATGATGAAGGTGTATCAGTACCTTTATGTCCACTGTAGAAGTACCATGGAATACCACAGTAAAAGCAGAGTGGAAGGCAATAAAACACAGAGAATGCATTGTAAATACACGTTAAGCATACAAAATGTGGTGAAACATGATACCATGAGACCACAATATGGTGCAGTATAGTGCACACCATGGTGTATAAATACACAGGCACAAATATTAAAAATAAAGAAGATTAATGTTATTACCATAAAGTTGGTCAAGCTCTCATAATGGAAGACCTTGCTCATACAGTAGATAAATCCTCACATTTCAGTTAGCAGATGTGATTAATAATCATAAATGACGCTGTTCAGTTTTATTTTCGTGGTAAACATAATTTCTAGTCATTTATTCAGGAAGCTGAAGGCCTAATGGTTGACTTCCAAAGCTTAAAATGTGCTCTATTTTACACATGTCAGGTAATGTATTGATAATTCTCTTTAATTATGTTTAAGTGGTAAAACAAATCCACTCAGATTGTCTTTCTTATTTCTGCTGTCCCTTGCTAGATTTACACCATTAAACCTCTACAGCTGCTTTAGGAAATCGGAGACAATCCTGAGCAAAAAGCAAATGAAAATCCTGCTGTTCTCAATCCCAGGTGCTAGAGAGATGTCAGAGTTGTTGGCTTTTGTGTCAATAATTAATGGGAAATACTTGAGTAAATGAAAGTAAAAATCAATTCTTCTGTCGAGGCCTGAAATTTGTTATAGTTATTGACAGACAAATACATCATTAAATAAATCAGGAGCTTCAGAGGACCTTGAAAAACAACAAGATGAAATAGTCCTTGTTTGGCTAATAAGCAGATTGGTTAATTGAGAGCTTAAGTTGGAACAGAAACTAATAAAGCCTTGAGGCCTTCTAAGAATTTAGCCTCCCACCCCTGCCATAGGCAGTATATGATTTAAGTCTCTTTTTCTGGCATATTGCTTTGGCATGCTTTCCTGTGTTTTTACTGTCTTGAATAATATATTATGTTGCTATATGTAATGTTGCTTTAGAAGGTTTAGGTCACACTTCAGCAGAATAAAGTCTTTCAAGGTTTTGCCTCTAATATTCCAAAAAAATAGTTCACCATCTGCATGCCTGCAATGTGATTTGTGTGATATGCACCATCAAATGTTTAAAATGACACTTGGAAAATTAAGCAAAATGACGCTGAAATTACCTGCCCTAGCCGTATACGATTGTACAGACTAGAGAGAGAGAGACTTGGTGGTGTTAGAGAACTCAGGCCAGAAAATTCCAGGAGTTTCAAATGCTCTGGATGGCAGTGATTTATAATTAAGTCACAGTTAAGGGATCCTGATTTTGCTTTTCCAGTAATTGCTATGGTTTTTAGGATTATTGGAAATCTTTGCGCGAAACAATGGAGAGTTGTCTTTTAGAACTCCTCTCTTCCTTATTTCTATACAAAAAAGAGGAAAAATTCTAATTCAATTTATAGTGAACTTGAATTTATTCATAGCAATGTTTTTGTTTGTGGCTCTCAGTCAAATGTCAATATTGGAAATATATCTCAGAACATGTCTGGATATTACTTTTTCATTGCCAAAGAGATGAGCAACAACCTACAGTAGGTGCTCCCTCCCATCAGAAAGATGACTTGGGCACAGTGCTGGCGGCTCAGATGGGCACTGCGCAGAGCAGCCATCAAATTCAGCAACCAGCAGAGCTCAATTTATACCTCAACAAGCTACCGCCGAGAGACAAAATTACTTTCTTTCTCTGTCATTTCACTGCTGAGCTAGGCCATCACTGTCTGGTTCCATTAAAAAAATGTGTGTTTTGTTGCAGTCGTTTAAACATATTTATGTATTAGTAACCTAGTAAGATTTCCATAAACATACAGCACATATAAACTAAGCCTGCAAAGTTTTCTTAGTCTATGTGCTGCATTGTTTGCAGAGTTTTATCATTCAAACCAGAGGTTTGTTGTATCTTGCAACGCGCTGTGACTGTGGATTATTCTGGATCTTTGCTCCCTTCAGTGGCTGCAGAAGATGATGAACAGAATATGCAGGTCTATTGCTCTTGTCCTGTTCGGAAGACCCTGTGAGGCGGATGTGTTTTTTTCATTAAGCTATATGCATGAATGTGTATCACCTGTGTACAAACGAGCAATGGAATTACATTAATGGACATAATGGTGGATATTAGTACTGTTTGAAGAAAGTAAAGTTTTTAATCCACCTCTAGTTACAATCAGAGCAGTAAGTCATACAGCAGCGTAGTCTGCCACCTTTATAAAACCCCACTGCAGAGCTGTGGGGGACTCTCTCAAGAGGAAATCTATATTCAGCCCAACAATACACAGTCCTAATGATCACCGACTTGGCTGCCATTAGCTCAGCATCCTCCCTGCCTTCCTGCCGGGTGCCCATTCACATGAGAGGCTACAGCAACACAGCACTCGCTCGCACCACATAAACACCTCTACAGCCCCGCACGCAGAGCAATCAAGGGGGGAATATGGGAAACCTGCTCAAATACACCAGGACACTCTTACAAAAGTCTGCTTTCGCACAGAGTAAGGGGCACTGATTTATAATTCATTAGAGGTGCAACATGGGATAGCATAAGGAGTTTTGGCTTGCTGTGGTGCAAGTGGTATTAACATGGTAAACGTAGCAACGTACAGTATGTGACAGTAACTGGAGCAAATTTTGTAAGAGTGGCCATGTATCTGGAGGATGCATTTGCTATAATTTAAGACTGAAGACATTTTTGGATCACTTTGAAGGTTTCTGTTAAGCAACACGAGGTGTTTCGACACCAGTTCCTGTTTCCCCCATGCTGCCAGCCACTGCTTGATCGTCTCCAAGCTCTGAACGTGCTCAGCCAGTACCGGACAGATGTTGAGCTGATTGCTCCTTCCTCCTAATGTATTGGCCCTGACTGAACAATACGGCTCCAAAGAAAATACTTATTCTTGGAAGTAGCTTATTCTGGTTTGCTCTCCTAAAAAACCAAAGGCATAAGCATACCGGCATGCGTGTTGCAACATGCAGAGCTTTGCACAGCACAGTGACACAGAGGTTTATGAAATTTGGATCAGTGTGTGCAGACAGAGCACACTGTGAACACCCAACAGACCGACCACAGACCATCAGAGTGTGCTATTTTGTTCACCTTCTAAATAGTCAGGAGAAAGACGATCTATCTGTTGTAATAATGAAAGAGATTCAGAGTGTCGAGTTTGGAGCACACTCTACGATGCTTCACTCTTGCTTCACTTTGCTGGAAACAAACTGACTGAAAGAACCAAATTACAGCACTCTTCTTAAAACATCCGTCCATGCACAATACAAGCTAACCTCTAACCCTAATGCATTGCTGGGAATTTATCAGCAACTTGCAGGCAATGACATTCTCAACTTGCAATCCAGTAATGTGAAGATTGTCCTCAGGAGAACTCTCTTTAAAGCTGTGAAGGAAATAACCCTGTGCAACAACTGCTCTGCAGAGCTTTGAAGTTTAGATGTCTCAAAACACATAACAATGGTGATCCCATTAATAATTTATCTTCTTTGAAAAAAAGTATTTGATTCCAAGCTCATTATGCTTGAAGTAACACTTTGTGCTTTACAGAATTAATGTAAAATCGGTGTATATTCAAATCCTAAACTGTTCTCTGTTTAATTATATCATGTCCCCTCATCAATTCTCTTACAATAAAGTGTTAACCTGTTTTGATGTTTTTGCTATATATTAAAAAAGTGTGTAATTTCAAGCAGCGCAATCTTATCCTGAAGACCGGCTGTTAATAACAATCTGAGGATGGAATTATTTATACATGTGAAGCCAGTGGCCTTTTAATTGATTCTGGTTTGTAAAACAAAACTCATTAACTATAATTAAAGTGTCTGATTAGTGTTTCAGGATTTGGAATCCCTGAATAAGTTTTAAAGCTGCCATCTGCCACATGTTCATGCTTCATTAACTGCAATGCTGACGATGGGAGTGCTCCCAGTGACCAACAGGTACAAAAGGACTTTGTTCCCCAGTGAGAAGATGTCAGATTACTTTTTTAAAATGGGGCTGATGAACAGCCCAAGCTCTTTTGTACTGCCATCATATCAGGCCTTCCTTGATTCATGATTGCACAGAGGAGCAAACAGAAGCTGTGCACTAAACAGTTGTGGTGCCACCAGACATGAGGATTCAGGTTTTTTTACAGTTGTAAGCAACCCATCTTCTCTTTTTGAGATTGCTTTGCGTTTTTCTATCTTCTTATTAGTTTTGTGTTTTTAAACAGACTCAAACTGCTGAATCACTCCAAGTGCGATAACCCAAGATATACTAATATCTCTCACAGCAAATTCAAAACTGGCCTCTGTGGAAAGATTATACTTTCCATTCTGTCCACTTGAAGTGGAGTGATTTGGTTGAACATTTATTATGAGCACGGCTTCCTTCAATTCAGCAAGGACCATAAACATGATAATCGTGAGGAATATATTATATTTTACTCCTGTTTTTTTTAACTTGTCCTAATTTGTCTAGTCTGTGGTTAAGATGACATAAAATGGGAAGCAATCTAGAAGACCACCCACTGCCTAAGAGCCACATAAATGCAGAGACTGTACTACATAGATTGCTATAGGAAAAAGAACTAACAACATCTTTGCCAGCCATCTACCCAGCTTTGCAGTCTGTGAGATAACAAAATAGGATTTTATCGGCTTATGTATTGTCCTTCAGCACTTCCCTCACAGAGCCCAAAATGTACAGCATATGTGTTGCACCCACGACAGATCTCATACCTTCCTCGTTGGCCATAAGCATACTGTGAGTCGGTGATCAGTAATGCAATCTCATCCAACTGCATTGAAGGGGCACAGAGTTCCAGAGCCTATTAGCAAAGAGAAAAGAATTCTTTATAACACAGCTGTTCACAATTACTAAATAATTTAAATAACTGGCAAATCATTTTAAAAGAGACTGTAGATCTATATACAATTCTGTAAATCTTTTAACCAGTGTAGTATTTGTCTTACAAATTGTACAGTAATAAAGCCCTGGGTCATTCACAATGATACTGGCGTGACCTTCATTTTTTTCCAGCAGAGTGTCAGTGCAGACGGTCTTTGTCACAGTAATGGGATTCTTTAATTCGCTTTTTGAAGTGGAAACAATCATCCTTTGGTGAAACACTCTTGGAATTATTTGTAATGAAGTTTGATTGTGCAAATCATAACTGTGACAAAAAAATACTTTTCCCTTCTCCATTTCTAGTTAACATCTTGTTTCATTGTCTGCTGTTCAAAATATCATTTTTCTTTTTCAAAATCTTTTGAAAAATCATTTTCCTGTTTGCAGAGAAAAAACATTGAAACAAATCTCACAAATCTAATTTGAAACAAATGAAGTAAAATCGTAAGTGGTTATCTGTGTTAGTGTAACCCTTATATTTCTTTCAGACAAGAGCAGATGCTGCTTCTGCATAAACTAATCTCAGATCAAGGACTTGCAAGGCCCATTGAAATTCTACGACTTTATCAAAAACAAGAGAATATAATTGTTTCTCTTTATCGCATTTCAAACATTAATTGGAAAACATTCACCCTAACAATTATTTGTTTTTCTCTGGCATTGATAATTGTTTCTCTAGCTGGCCAATTCCACAGCATTCACTCAAGTTTGTTTTGCACAAGAGCAAAGTTTGCCTCACATGAACTGAAAGTAAGTACAAAGGTGCCATTTTAGGCAAAAAAAAGCATTTGCAGCCTAGAAGGGACCAAGGGCTTTTATTTGTCACTTAACAATGTCACGGCGCAGATTGCTCTAGTTACTGTGATCTTTGAGAAACAAAGGAGAAAATGTACAGAGGAAAAGTGTTGCACACATGCGGGTGTGTTGTGGATGGAGCAGCCCACCTGGTTGACATCGCCCTCCCCTATAACAAAGGTCAGCCTGGGGTCCTTCTCCACCACCGTGCCATCTTCCAGCACCCCTTGAAGCTTCACAGTGACCTCCTGACCCCAGCTTGGGCTGGCAGCCTGCTCCTGCCCAGGCTGTAGCACTCTCTTCCTCAGGAACCCCTCTTCTGCACAGAGAGCAGGGTGGGGTGTCAGGCCGCCCACGCTTCTTAAACTACTATACAGAGAGTAGCTGTTGCTCACTAATGCCGGCGTCACACAACATGACTTTTCCTAGGATTTTCAGTTGTGGCCTTCATTTACATGATCGTAAAAAAAATCACAGCGAGTTGTAGAGAGTCTGTTACCGTCAGTTGTGTAGTGTGACACAGTCATAGCACTCTTAACAGCCCCTACGACTGTAGTCCCAGGGCTGGGACTCGCTACGACACAATCCAACTGGTTTGATTTTCTCGTAGAGAGTTGCAAGTTCTTGTGTCTGCGACAGTCAACAACCGGAAGTACCACGACCAAACAAATGTGGTCTACTCCAAGTTTTTCGGCCTGTCCTCTTCTTTTTTTTCTCGTCACAAAGGAGAGCGCAGGCTACAGCGCAGGTGACAACTACCTGCTTGTTCTCCATGTTAGTTTCCTTGTGTGTGGTGCTCCTCCTCTTATTCCAGCGTCCTCCACGTTGATTGGCTGCCAAAATGAGGCAACCTCGCGGTACTTTCGCAGTGCAATACGAGATTTGGAACCGTGATGAAAGGTCGTGAGGGAATCGTGTGATTAGTCACCCCCTGCGATTCCTAGTCGTATAATTTGACACCCGCTAGGACAGAAAAGCCAGCGAGATTCAGCAACTGCAGTCGTTAAATTTGACATGCTCTCCAACTAGAAGTCGTGTAGAGTCCTGTAGTGTGATGCCGGCTTAAGTGTAACAGTCGTATCCCATCTCTTCATGGAATGCTCTCTACTCTAAATTTGTGGAAGGAGGAGCATCCTTAGAAAAACAGTGGCAGGCCATCCCCACCCCCAGATCAACTCTCCAGTGACCAATGTGCCTGGAAACCAGCATAACTGACAGATCCTTCAGGATACATTTTTTGGTTTGCTTTGGTATAATTCTGTGTTTTTCATAGGCAGTGCAGTGAAAGAAGCAGCACGGCTAATCTAGCTATAAAGTTATGGCATGTATGTTTCATTTGGATAGGCCTACCTGTTATGTCCAGCCACTCCTCATCCAGAAATAACTCTTCAAATCCAGCAGCGGTCCACTCATGCAGCTCGTACCTGGGGAAGAAGCTTTCTTCAGTGGGGACACTCGTCATATCTACCTCCCTGTTAGGGGGCAACTGGAACCGCACTGTCTTCCCGAAACTGGGCGTCTTCTCTAGTTTCCTCTTGCCATCTGGGCCCCCCTCGCCAGCAGCCTCTGCACTCTCTGTCCCAGGGACGCAAAGGCTTCCGAATGCACTGCCACCGCTGTTAACTTGCTCTTCCTCCCTGCTCTTGTGAGCCTGGGGGGGCTCATGAAGTGGGTCGCCCTCCTCAAGACCATTCCAGGCTTCCACATAAGGACATGTCTCCACCGTCTCTGTACCGAGCTCGGGCCTCTCCATGTCCCCACAGGTTGAGGATGTCCTTGTGTCTCACTTCAGAAAGCTGCCACGGCACACCATCTGTTGAAAGCGTGGCAGCACAACAGAAATCCCAAGGATTTTCTTTTCAGCTATGAACGTAAGTTTGAATGTCGGTGTGGCCTCAGATCCACAAATTGCTCCTGCTGCACAGCGCCTGCTAATGAGACTGACAGCCTGAAGTATTTTTTAAAGCAGATGCCCACATGGATGCTAATTGAATTAAACCCAAGCTACATCACAACCAAGACACTGCAAATCCCTGCCTGTGCCGAAAGAGAGCCCCTCAGAGCCAAGGAAGGCGTTGGATGGGGACTCGTCTGGGAGCTACTGGGGTTCACTCAGGTTCTCTGCTGCAGCCCATCGCGCTTTTTTCAGGGGTTTTTTTCTGGGCTCCACCTCCATGTGAGAACAAAAAAAGACTTTAATGAAAAAATAACAGTATTGCACATCGAAGCAGTCCTGGTCAGTAGGACAGTGTGATGATAATCTGCTGGATTAGAAGAGCAAAATCTCATCTGCCAGAATGTCTGTAAGCTTCTTAATGACTCATCAGCCATTCCCATGAAGCATTGCTCCCAACAGCCATCTACCAATGAGCTCTTTCAGTGGAGTCTTTTATCACTGTGTAGTGCCTGTGCTTGCTTTCTGTATTCTTGCACTGTCCTCTAAAAGAGATCCCCCCTTGTTTTCAAAGAATTCAGTTTTACTATTTCTATGTCAGGTGAAATGAGATGGCAGAGCTATGAGCCAACCCATTCTGTTTTCCTAATCCCTAATCCCCCGCCAGAGTATGCCTTGTTGAAAGGAAGGGTTTGAAGTATGACTGCCGGGCATGCCTGTCTCCAGAGTTTCAGATGAATGTGTGATGTGGGTACATGTTCTCGAGACTGGGTTGCTTTTATTTTTGTTGCCAAGTGATCAAATTCAGCCCTGGCTGCTTGAAAGGGCTCAAACTGCTAACGGTCGACACTGCTCGAAATGTACGTCAACCAGTGACTGAAATGACCTTCAAAAGAAATTAAAAATAACTTCTTTTGTGTCTCCACGGTCAATCTGTCGAGGCCACAAAAGTGACTCATTAATGGCTCAGGGCACCCACAATTGGATTGTGCATTCTAACTTTTGATCTAAGCTCTTTGCTACTGTGGAAGGGTTGCTTATAAAATGATTTCACTGTGATTTTTTTTTCTTTTTTTAACTCCGTCTGACAGTTTAGCCTGTTGCTCCCCTAGTCTCGGATACTTTCTCTGACAAAAGCCCTGTGTGATTACAAGATACAGCACATTGACTGAAATTCAGCTAATGGCAATCCATTGTGAGTTCAACCACTCCCGGCAGCCTGACGAGGGAATTTTAATTTTTCTTTCTTACCACACGTTAGCATATTTTCCTCAGATGGCCTATTCTATTGGTCTTGTTGATTAGTGAAAGACGGTGCTGGTGGAACAAAAACACCCCAGAAATAGCCCAGACATGGCTATCTGATAGGAGCAAGAACAGAGCAGTTTGCTTTTCTCTTAAGACAACAGAACAGGTTTATCTAGGCAAGCTACATGCCTCAGAGCGGTGGACAGAATCCCACTGAATAACACTAAGCAGCAAGACCAGACAAGCTACTGCAACTCACAACATGCGCATCCCAATTAGGAAACACTAGTATGGTGCTTCATTCAGAATGCCTAATAGATTAATTGTTTGGCTGCTCCAGCAGGGGATGTGTTCACTGAAACTGGTGAGAAATCATCATCCATGAGTCTCCGATGCGTGCATGCTCTGATGCTGAAAAAGAGCAAAATGCTTTTCGATCTCTGACTATTAACAAAGAAGTTGTTTGCAAGAGATCTGGTTGAAATTCCAAAGCCCTAACATCCCAAAATGTTGTAGCCTCCTTTTATTTTCCTTGGTTTTCTGAGACAGCAACAATGTCCACCTTGAGTAGAAGAACACTCAAAAACCTTTTGACCAGAATCCCCACAGGTCCAATCTATCAGATGTGACCTGAGCACTCCCTGTGTTTGATGTCCTGTGTTTTTTTCATTTGAAAGTTCTCACTGTGAGTCTTCAAGCATCCATCAAGTCACAGGAGTCGCTGTTATAAGCAGCCGAGTGGACCCTGCCTGACTAGCACTGCTTGGGGAAGCAGTTGAAGTGGCCGAGACCTCTGCTTGCAATGTCTGTGCAAAAGGGGCCCAGCCAAAAGGGACCTGGGTCTTTCTTGCTCATTCTGGCACACAGTAAGTGTGAAGAAGATAACTTAATGGTTTGAAACAAGTCTGTTTTGCCCTACCAGTCAGAATCAGCATGGGTGAGATATCTGAACTTGCCCAGGTTGATTAGTCTCATCTCTAATTAAGTGCCAATTGGAGGATGGACACACGCTTCTTTGGAGAGACAGTGGCATGCACTCTATAAGGAGGAGGGTGACCTTAGTGTTGCACCACACCAGAATACACTACACAGCCCCGGAGCTTTGATTTCATTCTCTTGTTATTGTGGATCCCAGGCAGGCTAATGCTATTACAGTGGGATGTTAATACCTTTCTCCTCAGCAACGTGTCCTGCAAATTTAGCTCTGTTTTTCTGCCAGTGGCTTCTTCTGAGCAGACCATATGGCAAGTAAGGACTCTATTAATGACTATAAACAAGCTTCTTAATCCCCTGTCCAAGCATCTTTCCTTGGAAGGATTATGACCCACTAATTAACCTAAATTCGCAATTTTTTTTCCATTTCACCTTATCCATTTGAGGGTTTAAAGGGATGGAGGAATACTAACTCAGTTTGAAAAACAACATTCACTGGCCTAATCCTTTTTGAATAATTTGGAATCCTCCCTCCTTTCCATATCTCTAATTTGTGTCATCTGTTATTTTACAAAATTAGTAAAGAGAGAGCATTTACCCTTTGGATAACCATCATCAAATTTTGGATTTCTCACACAGAATTAGTTTTGGTGCTGCTAATATTGCTGCTCTCCTTTTCAAGAAGTAAAAGTAGCATTTTAATTGATTCAACAGATAAGAAGCGAACTGAAGATAAATGCCTGTAACCAAAAATTGATGTCTGCTTGGTCTGCTGCTCTTAAAAATACTTTGCTTTGCTTATAGCTGGATCATGCTCTCTTTGTACACTGCAGAGCTTTCTTGTGACACTGACCTTACCAAAAACTCAAGGATAAGGGGAAAAGACCATCAAAGAGGAATGACCGAATTAGCCATGGGGATGCACAAAAAACAAATTCTTTCAATGAACTTTATAGTACACCCCAGAAAGACAATCTGTGGCATGTAAATGATTTTTAAATAAATTCTGCAAATAATAGTTGATCCAATTTGACGTACTCCACTGTCTTAAGTGTTTCAAACATATGGTCGGAATGATACAGAATAATCAATAGTTCCAACCAAGAAGAGATCAGAATCATTTTAATGCATCTTTGTTTATTTACACTGCAATATGTTTTAAATAATAAAACAATCTCCAGGTCCAGTGACAGAAAATTGCATCTGACATTAAATGTCGGTATTTCAGATAAAAGTAGGCTTGGGTTAGCAATAATGCTCATTAGCAATATTACCTCAGAGCATCAGTAGGCTATAAATAGACAAACATTAATATATAATGTTAATAACAATATTAACATTAATAACATACAGCTCTGGAAGGCCAGACACTGTTGAATACAATGAGCTGCTCTGCTGTGTGTTTCATTAAGACTTTTTCCTCAGTTCACAGAGACGCATAAGATTTCAGGACTCTTTTGCTCATTTTTTGTTTTTTCCTCATACACTCAAGTACTTTTAGCAGCTAATATATATAAGAATTTATATATATATATCAGTGATGTATCCTAACAATTTTTACACTTAGCTATCTACTTACAGTACCTTTTGTTGTATAACATTTTGTAATACCACAAAAGGATCATTACTAGAGTTTTTAAATAAATGCTGTTTGTCTGTAATTCACTTTTACTAACTGTAATTCATTGATCATTTATTATAAGAATACTGTTTTAAACATCTGTACACTGGTTTTATCTAATGCATGTAATGTTATTACAGGCATCAGATCTGCATTTTTACACTTTAATGATTAAAGGGAAGCCCTTCTATTAACATGGGATGGCATTTCAGCCCCCTTTTGTCCATGTGACTTGTTTAATATTTTACAGGCCTTTAACCAAACAGGCCTTTGAGAAATAATTATCACAATTATATAATGATTCTGTTCAGTTGTGTAAAACATATATTCAAACCACTTTTCTTATCTGCATTTAGAAAGAAATTAGTCCTTTTATTTCCATAATCTTCACATATTTGCTTCTAATGTTATGTTTTTTGTGATATTGGCTTTTGAGATTTTAAAAAAATCAAACAATTGCTGCAGGCACAAATCGCTCCTTTCTAGTGCTGGAAGCCAAAATCCGGTTTCTCGTCTTGAGAAAGTAAAGTCCTTTCACTTGAGATACTGCTGTTTCAGATGACACCAATGGTTCATCTGAAGATTATTTTTCTTATACTACTCTGGAGCCATCTTCCAAGTGTAAACTGTTTATTTTCCAAAACGTTTTTATTAAAATGGGGATTGCTTAACTTTTTATGAGTATGAGTTCAGAAGTACAGTATGTTCCAACCTCTACTCTTGAGCCCAGATTTTATTTCAGCTTTATGCTTACAGGAGTTTGAATGGTTTCTTTCAGACCTTGGGTATTAAAAATAGTAGCAGGAAATACTGTGCTCAGGCATCAGATAAAATAAATCACCCAGCTGCTAATTTTGCTATTTTCTGAAGCCTCCCCTGTAGACAATTTAGAGAATTCAAAAAAGTATTGTGAAAATTCCTCTTCATCCAGGAATTAATATTTTGCTTCATATACTTTTACATTGAAGTAAAATTAATTCTGCCTGCTGGCACATTTGCGTTCAGATGTCAACTGACAGACATTTTTTTCATCTTTTCTAATTTCACTAATCTTTTTCTTTTCCAAGAGACATTCACTATTTCACAAGACCTGGAGAACTCTAAAAAAATCAACATGATTGAAATAGAATACTGTACAGTCAAATAATAATCTCAGTCGTTCCATAAGAAAGCTTAGGTACCAATTTTGGGGGCCTTGAAAACTTTTATCAAAGTGGTGCTTGCTGCTCACGTTTGACTAAAGTATTTAATGTGTAAAATGTCACTTTTAAACATGCACTTAAAAGAGAAATTTCAATAGTTATGATGTTAAAGCTTCCACTTTTGTTTTTCTTAGTGAAACAAGAAAGTGAGTCTCAAGGGTGAATTCTCTTGGAAAAGAAGAATTTGTGGTATGAAGTAATCGCTGAGCTACATATCAATGTGGTCATATAAATGGCTTGAACAATTGACAATCTGCTATATTTCTTGTAAGAGACCTCATATTTTGCCAGATACAAGCAAGTACACATAGTGTACATTGTGTTCCTGAATTATGCACTGTACTTCCAGAAACATACTTCTAAATATTTACAAAAATATTGCAAAACATCCTTAACAGTATTGATCTCTAATGATCAGTGACAGAGCTTATTTCTCACTTAGGATCTTTTAACAATACCTTCTAAAATGAAAACAGATCAACTCAAAAGACAAGTGTAGAACGCAGTATTCATTAAGTGGGAGGTATTGCAGAACGCATGTTTCTTGGGCACAGTCCATCGAGAATGAAATGGGGGGACGTTGAGGAGTCTTTGGGGTTAACTCTCTTCTCTTGTAGTGTCACAGTATGACGAACCACTGGGAACAGCCGGGAAAACAGTGTGTTAGGGAGCAGAAGGGCTACACAAAAGATCACTGTCAATCTTACTCTCAAGATAAGATCATTTAAACTCTCGTCCTCGAATGTTTAACAGTGTCACACAACTGCAACAATTTGGTTTTTTTTTTCCACGTTACCGGTGTGAGGGACTTCTGTACAGGCATCTTGTTTGAAGCACATCTGTTTCAGGCAAGCTTGTCACCCTGCTCAGAATTGCTTATAAACCAATTCAGTCGGCCCCCTCTCATTCCACTGAACATCGGTTCTACAGTGGGTATAGTTTAAGTATAGTTTACAATTAAGGAATTTAAACTGGGAGGAAACTGCAGTTCTGTTTTACAATAAACTAGAACATTTAAATTCGGAAATGCTGCAAACGTTTCGATTTGTTTTTAAAAATGGACTTTTCAATCAATGTGACAATATCCCAGAAATAGTGTTTTTAAGTCCGTCCGTGCAGCGAAACGTTCAGGATTAAGAGTTTCTAAAAAGGTCAGTTGTGGAGGCCTGGTGTTTATCCACCCCCTCTCTGTGACGCCATACAGGGAAATTCAATAGATATACATTGCATTGTGACGTCGATGTGCGCTCTTGTCTCGATTATTTATTTGTTCACGCTCGGGTCTCGGGCAGCGAGTGTGTGAGTAGTGTGTGACGTGCTTGGAACAACGCAGCCGTTCTACGCCCCGCCCAGGTACCGTGACGTTTCACCGAGAATGTCCCCGATGCTGCTCAGTTCCAGACATGGCAGCACTGAGACAGGAGGAGCGATACGGGCTGTCCTGTGGTAAAATTAACAAAAATATCCCGAATAAAACGCTTTATCACGTCAAGCTCACCGACACCGCCATCAGAGCTTTGGAGGCATATCAGAACTTCAAGGTAACGAGAAAATCACGTTTTTGCCCATTTACTTTTTTTGATATATTTATTGTTTTCTTAGGCTAAGCTTTAAAGGGCTCTTCTGGAGCAGGTTTTATGCGCAAGTAGGCTTGGATAGAAAAGGGGGAAAGTTGCCGGTAACTTCCAGAAGTGATCGAATCTGTAGAATGTGAACTGGGGGCTGTGGGAGGAAACTGTAGCGCTTTGCTAAAAAGTGCATCGTATTAATGAAAAAAAAAAAGAAACTTACGGTGTCTGTAATTATGGTTTGAATACCTGCGCAAAAATAAACACTGTAACCCCGTGCAATTTTATTCAACACCATGAAAATTTTAGGGAATAAACTGGTAATGTTTCGCTGGTATAGATTAGGAACTATTTTTTTTTTTGTCGGAGTAGAATGATTTTAGCCAGCTGAGCTTTAGATACTTGGTATACCATATCTTTCAGATCTGTTTTGCGCTGTCAACAATATTTCAGTTCTGTTTTGAAATCATTATCATATGTAGAAGCCTTAAATCTCCTTTCAAAGATTATGGAAAGCCTACTGAAAATTAGAGGTATGGGTTAAAGGTATATAGTTTGTACACAAAAAGAGCTTTTTTTTTTAATTGAACAGTTAAAATTGCCGTTTTTAGTCACGCCGTGTCTTTTCTGTCAATCGTGTAGCAAGCAAGCAAGCAAGCAAGCCTTTAGGGAAATAATCTTGAGTGCTTTTCTGTATAAATATACGATGAAAGGGATCGTACGGTGAGTGTGGCGCACAGGGTTAGATTCTGTGATATTGGTTACTCTTTAGACAGCTGTATACAACTGTAGATTTTGATTTTAGTCGTGCTTCAAGAATAATCGTGTTTGAACTAAGATACTAGTGCTTTCTTTTAATTCTATGTAAAGTCGACAAGTCGGTCTTCATCGTGGTCCAGTCGGTGTTGCCCAGCTCTTGTGGTGTTTAAAATGTGTATATTAAGCGTAATGGTCTACTAGATAAAAGACTTCCAAACATCTCACGCCGCTAATCTCCTTTCTGCTTCAGAAATCTAGGGTAGAAAGTGTCCTGTAATCTTATCTCGAAACAAGTGGAAGATAACCAGAATTTACGGGCTGGTCGTTTCTATATTATGCTACTATTGTATCCAAACTAAGGCAAGTCAGTTACATATATTTATTATGTAGAACGGTTAGGGAGATGATTCAAATCAAAGGAAATGCAAGATTCGGATGTAAATCGCAAAAAAATGATGCATTTTTGTTAAGAAAATCGCTTTGTTACAACTGAAATGAAATGGCATAACCGCAATAAAGACCATTAGCACAAGGGAACGTGCAGTATGCATTCGAACAATTTCTGTAACCCGTCTTTCTTAATTTACTGGAGGGCAGATAGCGACGTAAAATGAGATAGTAAGTGAAAAGCTTTTGTGCAACAGGAGTCTTTAACAGTAGCCATAGCTTGAATTCCCATGCAATTAATGGCTCAATGGGAGCTCTGGACGCCAGCTGGACCGTGCGCCTGGTCAGTCTCCCCTAGTCGTCCCCCTCGGCACTCCTCTTCGCTGATTGGCTGCTGGCGCTGTGTTTTTTGTGTTGCCGTGCTCCCTTTGTACTGTTCTGCCCTTTAAACGCTTTGTGCCACGCCCCCCTCGGCGCTCATTGGCGCAGAGGTGCGGATCGAAGCGCTCTGTCTGGGTCCATCGCCCAATCAGAAGCAGCGGAGCACTTCCTTAATCTCCAGAGATAATTTATCCTGACATGCTGTAAGACCTTTCAACTGGAGCAGCCTGCTTCAATGAACAATGCCGAAAAACAGAGTCGAATGTCAACACTCTCAAGTAGAAATGTGATGCATTTGTGCGTGCCCTTAACTAATACTGATCTTCTAAAAGCCGTTATTGTTTAGTATTTAATATTTCCGTGCAGGGCAATGTTCTGCAGGAATGGGTTCTAATTTTTTTCGTCGTTCAGTTCGTTTTTCTCGCTCCTGAACGATGACATTCTGTCGTCATGTACGCGTTGTACTAAATGCAGACTGAGGGTCTTCAGCAAGTAGCAAGACACATTCTGCCACATTGTTTTAAACGAATCAGAAAACAGGGTTTCGATAGCTGGTGTAGATGAAGATAGCTGCGCCATAATCTCGTACCTTTTAGGGGAAACACCTTGGTTTAAGGAGATGAGGCAATTGTCCCCCTTATAGGTGGTACATTCTTCCTACATTACATGGGGAAGTAGCCCAAGGAAGAATCTTCTCCTTATGTGCTCCTGGTTACCCCTCTAACCAAACCAGGTGACATTGCTGATCTTGAGCAACAGACAACCATCCAGGAGGTTATAATAGAGCCTTTTTCAGCAAAGCACTGAGTATAATCCATTTTCCTTCCCCAAGATTTATGAGGCTGATTTACCTGTCAGGTGTGTACATGCTGTTTGAACAGTATGTTGTCTCCACCCGCCTGAGAGCAGTGATTCACCGCAGGAGGTGAACGCTCTTTCTAATCATGTCCTCAAGCTCTCTGACCAGAGTCCCACGTCAGGTCATTCTGGCATTTCTTCTTTTTGTGTGAGATCTTTGTCTAAGGTTTGCAAATGACTTGCTCTGGGTCCCACCACATCCAGTTTTGACTTCTAATTCTTTAGTTTGTTCATTAATTCCCTTTCAATGAAAACAAAGAAGGTTAATTATATCTGCGCCCTTGACTGGAAAGTTGCCGGTTTGTATCCTAAGGCCGGCAGAGGAATTTTGGGCCCCTGAGCAAGGCCCTTAACCCCAGCTGCTCCGGGGGCGCCGTATAAATGGCTGACCCTGCACTCTGACCCCAAGCTTCTCTCCCTGTCTGTGTGTCTCATGGAGAGCAAGTTGGGGTATGGAAAAGACAAATTCATAATACAAGAAATTGTATATAGCCAATAAAGTGATCTTATACAGTTTGTCAGTCTGTAGCTGTTTTAAGATTGGGGAGGGAGTTAAAATGGAGCTGGCGTGTCCCTTTGAAAATCAGCTGTAAAATCCAGTCTGGATAAGAAAATCATTTCAAGTGTGATGGTGTCTAAACCTGCTCCTAAAATACAAACGGAGCCTCCATTTTCTACCTTGAGTGCTGCCCATTTATCAAGTTGAGTAACATGAGAAAACATGTACAGTAGGTTAGGTGGAGCCTGTCTCTGCTCTTAAGAGATTTAGACTTGTCTTTTTCAGAGCAAGTCAACAAACTGTCCGATCAACAAGGCTGATTTCTGTAAAAGAACATTTAAACTGGGGCATCGGATTATACCCAAAGATCATCGTGCAAAACCTAGGCTTTGCTATCAGTGCAGATTTGTAGATGATTGTGGTGTTTGCATGAACCTTCAATTACCAAAATTGAAGTGCACATTTGGTTCTTGGATTTTCTTTGGACCCTGATAAGTTTTTTTTTTAACTAAAGACAAAATGTGGGAGTCTGTCTGCCAGCAAATCGTATCCTAGTAAGATGTGGAAAATGTTTGATCTTGCTCAGGAGGGCAAATTAATTCTTTGCTCTGCTAATGGAGGGTGTAGATAGGAGCTGTTTGCAGGTATCAGCAGGTATTAGGCGTTCAGGCTAAAGCAAACTGCTTCTCCCGTTTACTCAGGAAATGTAGGCTTTTGAGGTACAAAAGTGACTAGAATATATAACTAATTACAGCAGAAACCACAGCTGCAGATGTTATTAGGAACAAATGGCATTTGATCTTCTCTATTAAAAATCCCCCTGTTCACAGCATTTGGAAGAGCCCTTATAATCAGCAGTTCTTAAAAGAAGATGCACACTTTTTCCATGAGTGTTTCAACCTCTTTAGACAGATACAATATACAGTATTTTGGTATCAACCCCAGTTCTTGTATAATTAAACCTTGAAAAGATTTGTAAGCTAAGAGTAGTATAGGGGTTTGAAAATCCACATCCTTATTTATTTCTTAAAAAATAACTTAAGTTTTTGGTACAATGCTAATTTTGTGGACCAGAATAAAGGTGATTTTTATTGAATGTTAAAATATAATACCTCTCAACTCTAGCATGGGTCCTGTTTATATTATTCTCTGTCATGTGCAGAAACTGATATTGTAGAAGAATATGAGTTATCTCCAGTCTTTTGAATGCTGGCAGTCATTGTTTTCACATTCTGAGCCTGGTTAAACTTTGGGTGGGAGTGCATAGTAGTTATTGTTCAATTCTACAGTAGGTGCTCCTTTTTAAGCTCAACTTAAGTCTGTTTTTGTATTTGTTGTTCTTAAACTATAGTGAGAAACAAAGTGCGATGGTTAGGTAACAAATGTAAATACCCTCTGGCTTTGGATGAGATTTAAGGGCTGCTTGCAAATAAATTGTTCGTCTCCTGAATTGTCTCTCCCTCCCCCTCTCCCTGTATCTCCTCTCAAGAACCCTGCTGATCAGCATGGACAGTCTTGTTGAAATCCAGATTGATTAATCATAGACATTCCAGTGCAGTTTACTACAGTATCTTAGATTGCTGGACCACTGTTAAGTTAGAATGTTAAAAACGCCTTGGTAGGCCATTTGTGGAAAACATTTTAGCCAAGAAGCACTTCAGAAGGCAATGCAATCTTGAACAGGACAGGTTGCTGTTTTGAAATAAAATGACTGTTTAAAAGCACTGTAGGTCAGATGATTATTTTCAAGGTAGCGTGTTTAAGGTTAATGTGAATTTTACAATAACTGCCTGAAATGTAGGACAAAAAGTTTAAGAAACTTGAAACTGCTCCTCTGTCTTCAACATTGGAGAGCTGACAGTGTGGCGGACACTGGGTGACACTGTATCAGTTTTACAGTCCTGGCATAATTGCCTCATGGGGTAAAAACAACCATGCAG